GGAGCTGCTCAAGATAAGCCTCTCCTGCCCTGTCCTGACCCCTCCCTCCCCACACACACACACTCCAAAGCTCTCATCCTTGGCCCTATCCAGAGCCCACACTCTAGTCAAATTATGTTGAGGCACAGGCATCAACAATTTTCTTCAACTGGATCATGCGAAAAAGAAGTTTGAAAACCAGTTCACTAGCCAACCAGGATTTGAAGCACGATGAGGTCGCAACACTGGCAGCCACCGGAGCTTGTCTGTGTGTCCTGGAACAGCATTTCTCAACCTTTTTTTATAAAGTACCCATTTAAAAAAAATTATAAGTACCCCCAGTGCCTACAGCTTTCAGACACACACAAAAAAATTCTACCACATTTTTTATCACATTTCTACACACAAAATTTGCAACACATTTGTTTAAACAACTTAATCGGTAGGTGAGTGAGCAATGACATTTTTGGGTGTAAAAAGTACAAAGTGCCATAACACTTAACACAAAAATTCAGTTTTCTCTAAATTTCAGTTGTGGTGACATACTTCCCCCATCCCCCTCCAGACTTCTCTCAAGTACCACTAAGGGTACTTGTACCACTAGGCCTATGTCTAGACAGCAGGCTTCTTTCAGAAGAATCTTTTTTCACAAGAAATCTTCCAAAAAACTTCTGAGAGCATCCACACAAAAAAGTACACGGAAAAAGCAATCTGCTTTTTCAAAAGATAGTGTCCATTCAGCCTACCTGGACATAATCTTAACGACCTTACTACATGCATCTTACTTCAAAGAGACTTTAACACCAGATTACAGAGGGAAACTTCATTTCTTTCTTTCATGCTTAAATTTGACACTTTACGAATGGGCCTTAACAAAGATGCTAATTACCTTAACCATTACAAAGATAGCTTCCCCAATTATCACCCCTGATTAGCCGTTCATTGATTCATAAATAGCTATTCTCTCCATCCCTCTCCCTCACCCCACCTTCTGTGCTAAATCTGATTTGTCAGTTTAATAATGTGTTCACTTTTTTCATTGTATTCCTTTGGTATATATGGTCGTGCCACTTCTCTTCCAGAATGTGATCTGAGGAAGTGGGTCTGGCCCACAAAAGCTCATCACCTATTAAACCATCTTGTTAGTCTTTAAAGTGCTACATAGTTTTTCCTTTTGTTTTTGCAAGATCAGACTAACATGGCTACCTCTCTATTACTACTCACATTTAAGCCATGATTACTATGGATGGAGTGGCCACCAGTGCTTTTTCCTCTTCTTTTGAAAGAGCTCCCTTCTTCCCCGTCCACATACACTTTTTTGTGAAAGAGCTCTTTCGGAAAAAGGCTTCTTCCTCATAGAAAGAGAATTACCAACACCTCCTCCTCTGTTATTTCAATTTACTTTCAGAAGAAAGAGATTGCACTGTGGACGTAACTCAGGTTTTGTCAGAAAAATGGGGGTTTTCTGACAAAAACTGTAGTGTTGACAGACGCTGGTTGAGAAACACTGTCCTAGAACACCTACCACTGTTCTCCCTGGGGCAGCTGCCCTGGTGAGAAAGAAGTGTAGAGAAGGCTTTAAGATTTTGCAGCGTGCTTCACTCATCGCATTTACAATCTCAATGTTTTTATCTGTTATTCCAGATCTCACATCTGGAGAACCTTTCAGCTGTTTAGCCCAGACAGTTCAGTTTGCTCCTAGGCTGCGTCTAGACTGGCATGATATTGCGCAAATACTTTTAACAGAAAAGTTTTTCCGTTAAAAGTATTTGCGCAAGAGAGTGTCTATACTGGCAAGTGCCTTTGCGCAAAAGATTTGCTTTTGCGCAAAAGCATCCATGCCACTGTAGACGCTATCCTGCACAAGAAAACTCTGATGGCCATTTTAGCCATAGGGCTTTCTTGCGCAAGAGATTAACTTGGCTGTCTACACTGGCCCTCTTGCACAAGAATACTTGCGCAAGAGGGCTTACCTCTGAGCGAGAGCATCGGAGTATTTACACAAGAACCACTGATTTTGTACAGTACAAAGTCAGTGTTCTTGCGCAAATACTCGTGGCCAGTGTAGACAGGCGGCAAGATTTTGAGCAAAAGCAAGTGCTTTTGCGCAAAATCTTGCCAGTCTAGACGCACCCATAGGCTGTGTCTAGACTGGAAAGCTTTTCCGCAAAATCATCTGCTTTTGTGGAAAAACTTGCCAGCTGTCTACACTGGCCACTTGAATTTCCGCAAAAGCACTGACGATCTCATGTAAAATCATCAGTGCTTTTCCGGAAAAACTATGCGGCTCCCGTGCGGGCAAAAGTCTTTTTCCGAAAGACTTTTGCGCAAAACTGCCAGTGTAGACAGCATAGTACTGTTTTCTGCAAAAAAGCCCCGATCGTGAAAAAGGCGATCGGGGCTTTTTTGCGGAAAACCGCGTCTAGATTGGCCACGACGCTTTTCCGCAAAAAGTGCTTTTGTGGAAAAGCATCCTGCCAATCTAGACGCGCTTTTCCGAAAATGCTTTTAACGGAAAGCTTTTCCGTTAAAAGCATTTTCGGAAATTCATGCCAGTGTAGACGTAGCCCTAAAGTATAGCAGACAGAAAAGTAATCAAGTCCCATACTGTCTAATACATGAAAATACACACTTCTTGTTCCTGGTTTCTCTAGCTCTTTGAATCCATTGTTCCAGTGAAAACACCTTGTGGACATAATCACTAGCATTGCACCCCTAAAATGAGTCAAAAGAGCAGAGGTGTTTGACCTTAGCATATGGGTTTGCTTGACTAGAGCTAACACATGATCCTCCCCTCCTCACTCAAAAAAGAGAGGTGAGAGCCCTGTATTTCATTGTGAATGGATTAAGTGGCTGGGTATGATGTAGGCTTAACGCATGCCAAGTGTGCCAGTGACCAAACTCTAGTTACATTACAGGAAAAGGACTAGGTCTTTACTGCCCTCTCTATCAGCTGCCAACCAGAGAACTGAAACAGAGCTGGCTAGGCACTGAGAAGGGCAGGAATGTGAACCTGCTTCCCATGTATGCTGGATAAGCATAAGCTCAAATAGAGTAGCTAAGAGCAGCACATGCATGAATCCCAAGCTGCTGCTAGAGTACAGACCACATACTCGTGCCACTAGCCCAAGCTCCTACTCCAGCTGCTCCTTACTGTGCTGCTCTCTTCACTGCAGAGCTAGCCTGTGTCTGCCTGAGCAGGGAAGTGTGCTCCTAGCTGCACTGTGGATCTACCCCCAGGGAGCCTGTGGCTACAAATTGCTCAAATTGTCCGTGGGGAAGGTAAATGGCCCTGCTCCCTCCCAGCCACTAAAGCAGTATCTTCATTGCAAAGGGAACAGTAGAGCATTGCAGTCATTTGCCTAGAAAGGGAAGGTGCTGCTTTGAATACCTGAGGACCTAGTAGTAACAACCAATGACTCAGGTCACAAGGTGCTTGAAATGGACTATAGGACTTGCAGAGAAAGATTCCCCAGGGAGTTGGAAGGAATATTAGCAGTGTCAATACCACTTCAACCCACAGCAGTCATTTTCATTAAGATTTATACTGGCTCTGAATTTGGCACCACTTCTGTGCCTGTTTCAGTTCAACAGTGGGTTCCATCTACATAAAAATAGCTCCCAAGTATGGAGTATATTTGGCTGAACAGTTACCAACCCAACACAAGCATTTAATATAAAGTAAAACACTGAGTAAGAGAGCAATAGAAGACCTAAGAACATTTTGGAAGGTCAGCTAGAAAGGAAGATTGAGATAAGAATCTGAATGTTACACTTAGGCAGTTTCTGCTCCTGGGGTCCATGTAAGTGTTGCAACTGAAAAAGCAAGACAGACTTGGTCTGTCTACAGCACAATTAAGAACTTGTGACTGGTCCATGCCAGCTAACTGGGGCTCACAGTCCTCCAAGTCGACCATGCTGCCACTAAAGAGACAGACTGTGCACACACAGTGCAGGGCATTCTTAACCTACACTCAGCTACACCGACTCACTGTTTTGACCTTGGGCAAGTTGTTTCATGTCTCTACTTCAGTTTCCTAATCTGTACAAAGTGGATAATACTTAAACCCCACCCCCTTTGAAGTAGGTCTGAAGATTAGTCAGTGTTTAGGAGTGATTTGAATGTGTAAAAATGCAAGGTAACCATTATATTTTAGTCAGTTTTCTCAGTTCATACTGCTTGTTACTTAGAGAGCCACTTAAAAGAGCACTACTTTGGGTTTGGTTTCCCTCCCTCCCCCCAAAATCATGGTACCTGCTTTTCCAGAAAGTCCACTTTAATTACAGCATACAACAGAAGAAATATTCTATGCCCTCAATTGCTCCAGGCTCTTTAACAACTAAGCCTTGACTTCATTAAGTGATATTAAATAAAGCCAACTAATGTTTTTGAAGAACAAAAACTAAATGCAAACTTGGAATGGAAGAAAGCAGCTTACGCAGGAATACTAGAAAAGGAGCTGGAGTTTGTGAACATCTTGTTGATTTTTCAATTTAGAACACCAAAGAGGCAGCCACTCACTAAATAATCAAATGGACTTGGTTCTGAGGAAAGTATTTAAAAAAGAAGATTTTTCAGCAGTTAAGAGCTACAAGGGAAAAAGATAAAGACTAGCAATATTAAGCCAAGACACAAGATTTACTGGCCAATTATGTTTACGTAGATGAATGCATGTTTATGTGGGAAGAGGGACAGTTAATCAAGAACAAAACAAAGAAATCAGCCTTGTAGCTACAACAGGGGAAAAGAAAAAAAAAAAATGAGCTGGGGGGTGGCAAGAATGGGACAACACATTAAACAGTCAGGCAATGGAATAACTGGTAGAAGTGGACTCACTGTTGGCTATTCAGAGACACAGAGCAGACCTTTCAGAGAAAAGAAAAGGTCACTTCTGCCACTGCAGGAAGATGGACTTTACAGGAGGAGAACACAGTTAAAGACGTTATACAGTTCTATCCTGAATACTAGTGTCACCTGACAATAGCTTTAATATTTAAAAAAAAAAAAGACCACGAGAAAGTTTCAGACAAAATATATATATTTAAAAATTTTTACAATGTCAGGAAACATAGGAGCTTGTAGACAGTTTATTAAGTTCAATTCTCAGCTCCTTACAGCTCAAAACACATGACAGTGTGTACAACTTCTAACTTTTGCTTTCATAATTTTAAAGCGAACAATACATTGAGTGTATTTTACTCTGTGCAAATAAGACAACTTCAGGAATCCTTCGGAGGAAATATCCAAAGTTCTGTTTGCAGAGGTCCTTTGTTTCTCAAAAAAGAATAGAGGGTTTAAGATAAAGTGCTCCTGTCCAGCAGAACCCAAAGGCCTTTGAGAGTTTTCCTAGTAAGTTTAGCTCAGACAAAATTAAAAAAAAAAAAAAAAAAAAAAAAAAGAGTTGGTCATACAAATTCCAGCTTTCCATGCCCGCTGTACATTCCCCAGTGGACTAATGAAAGAATTTTATCATTGCTGAGGTCTGTCTGTCTCATTTTATCACAGGTCATGCAGCAGTTTTCGTGACCAGTTACTGGCACCATGCATTCCAAGTCTAGCTTTGCCATCTGTCCTTTTTTCGAATGATGTCCATGAAAACTGTAGTGCAAACGGGAAAGCATTTGCTGCCGTTGATCCTGCAGTCTTTTGTTTTCACTCCTGAGCATCCGCAAAGCTAGCATGATAAGCAGCACTAAGATCAGCCCACCAGCTATAGGAACAGCAATTACAGCTGCTCTGAACCACAGTTCTTTTGAAGAGGTCAACTCCTGAACTTTTGTGATGAGATTTCTGCTGTTGTCATGCTGATATCTGCTCCCCTGTCCTGCAAAAAGGAAAACAAGGTCAAGTTTGTGTTTCAGCTAAAAATTATTTTAAATTTAGCAATTCCTTAAACCACACACTAAAAGTTGCTGTTTGTATAACTTCACACTGGAAGGTACCTACAAACAGGTACTCTACCAATTTCTCTGAACCTTTTCTAGAAGAAAGAAAATGTTTGTTACTCATTAAATCAACTGCCAGTGTAAGTACTACTAATACTTACACTGGCAGGAATAGTCTTAGAAATGTGGAGAAGCAAGCATTACAGGCAGACATCTAATGCTAATGCAGATATAAAAGCTACTCAGCCATCTCTGCATCCCACCACATGCTTCTCCCTCTGGTATCTCTAATTACATTAACAACAAAATCAATAGCAGACATACAAGGTCTTGGCTGTCACAAGCCTAAAGATCAGAGATTTAGTTGAAACTGCTTTCTCTACCTGAGGTCTCACCCTTGGGAGGAGAGAGAACATCATGCAGTCCTCTGTAATTGCACATATCTTCATGACAGCATTCCAATGTGGGCATGGTGGTGCCGGAGTGGTTTTGTGCCTGTTTAGCTTGGCAGATGTCAGCTGTGTTTGCAATAGTGTCCAAGCAGCCATGAGTAAGTGGGGAATTTGTGTTCTGCGGGTCAAGCAGTCTGGAGAAGCAGGCATTCAGTTCAGATTTGCACATATAGCCAGTTGCAACACAGTGTGCAGCATCACAGTAGCATCTAATTTCACCTAAAAAAAAAAAAAGTATTTTATTTTGGTCACTATAGATTGTAAACCCTGCAGAGCAAAGTTAGGTCATTTTCTGTTTCTGAGTAGTGCCTACCACACTGGGGCCCTAATTCCTGATCAGGGCCTTTGGGAAACCAACAGAATACCAATAACTACTGATAAAAGCAGGAATAATGAAAGTGTCACACTTTAAGCTTTATTAAGACTAGGGTTTTTTTTTTTTGGGGGGGGGGTCATGCTGCTAGACAAAACATTTACCCACATCTGTATACCTGCTAGATTTTTTTTCTATTCACTAAACATATCAAACCAATCCTTATTTAAAGAGAAACAATCCCTTTCTCTCCCCAAAAGCTAACAGTGTTACAGCAGTGCTTTAGAATTTAGATTGTTGAAAACTATTATTTTATCAAGTTTGCATTACTCCTTTTAAGTACACAGCAGGATTTCCAGAGTTTGATTGTCATACGTAATCGGAACTGCAGAACTGTTTATTATCTCTCAGGGCTATGCTAAGGTTTAAGAACTTTAGTTAACATCTTATAAAGTTATCAGCTAGAATCATTAGAATATAGAAATTCCAAGTCAGGAAAGTTTCAACTAGTGAAATTGGGCAGCTATTTGTGATCTCTTCAGAAAAGGAACTTTTTCCTATGAAGAGCTTTTCATGCAACAGGGCTTTTTAAAGTTTTTTTTGTAATAAATCTAACAGGAATGGTGCAGTTTACAATTAGTGGTTTGTTTGCCAAAGTCAATTTCTTTCAACTCAATGGAAAATCATAAGAAGGGGTGCTACTGAAATCTCCTCCCCTAGTTTTGCATTTAATCCAACATGTGGTCAAAAAAAAGGGGAAACATTTCTACCGGTTGTATATATTAAAAAAATCTCTCAGGAAACCTCAAACATCTCTGAAGGGAAGCGATAAAAAAAGTTCTACATAAAATGCTTCATTTTGTGCTCTCCAAACCGCCAGTTATGATTATACACACATCCTGTACGGTAAGGAAAACTTCACCTTATTCTTTCTAGGCAAGTTATAACTCAAATCTATTTCAATATTCCATTAGTTCAAAGAATGAACTGGAAGGCAGTTTCTGGAGTCATCGTTACAAGTGCAGATTTACTTAAAGACTTCCACCAGTTCAGTTATTGGTGAATTACCTACCACAGATGCAGGGATACTTTCAAAGTTAGATGAATTGTCAGACTTCTTGATAGAAACATCTACTCTGAAAATAAACCCTTTTTACTGCCGCCTCCCCACTTAAGCTTAAAATAACAAGAGATGACTGGGAAAGGAGTCAAATTAACTTCCAGACTTCAGCCCATCTTAGGCCCAAGCTCTCCCTGCAGGCTCTGGGCCATCAAGTCCCTGCTGCTCTTTAATAACTCTGCTTAATAGAAGCCAAATGACAGAGCTCTTGTCTGTCGCTCCAGCTTGCATTAACTCCCTTGGACCTTTAGGCTGAAGGAGCCAAACTTCTCTTGGTTTCATGAGTTACCCTTCCTATAAATTAGTAAGCAGGTTTTTTCTCTGCTTTCTTATGTACAATCACAGAACTTACTTTTTGGAGGGGAGGAAAAAAGTATCAATTCACAGTTAATATAATTTATTAACTTTCTAAGCCAAGAACAAAGTTGACTGTCCTATTAAGCTCATCATATGGAAGAACATGAAACACTAAGCATACTTTTATTTTGCTTATATGACCCTGCTTAAATTCTACTTTGACCCAAGACAAGTTTTATAAACAAAATTTGACATTCTAGTCATTGGGTTATTACAACTCCATTTTAATTAAAGCCACATTTTTAGTAGAACAGAATGGACTTTGTATTAAAACTGTATTTCTGTCGATTCATAAAGTTTCTTCCTGTGCTATGCAAAAGGCCAGAAAGGGTATTAGGTATTTTGAAACTGAACAATGCCCTTCTGTTCCTTCCTCTTTCTTGTTACTGTATATAGCCATTAAAGAAAAATGTCTGCTTTTAGTCAAGATGGCTACAGGAGAGACTGCAGGCTTCTCTTCAGGCTTTTGAAGTCAGCAGCAGCCAGAAGTCTATGAGCCCCTAATTATATCATTATCAGGCACATAGTTTCAGTATCTGTGACTTCACATCACTCAGTCACTCCCTGTTCTCCTGCCTTTGATGGGGCCAGAAGGCTTTCCTCCGCCTGCTGCAAAGGCTGTTATTTAGGGTTAATTACACCCTTACTTCCAAAATAAATAAATAACAGCACATCATCACTGTGCTAGTTTATCCTTTAACCTCCGTGGATCTTAGCAATTATAAGGAGCCAAAATGGTGACCTTTCCCCTTACAAAGGCTAGCTAAGCAGCAGCTGAATTGTATGGAGACAGTAATCTAAACTAAGTGTGTTTAAACTTCATACCTATTTACAGCAATGAAGCAATTGCAACAGGAAGCTAGACACGTTTCGAATCTACTACTAGTTTTTAGAAGTAGAGAAGGAGGCGTGGGGCTGGCATTAGTTCACTCTGATCTAGAGTTTACAAAGAAACCGAGCGCTTGGGGGGCGGCGAGGCTATGTGCCCTGTTCCGGCACTCAGGGCTCCACACAGTAAAACCTCGCCGGAGCTCTCAAAGGGGCAGTGTGCCGCTAGATGGCCCGGCTCCATGGCTGGAAGCGGTCAGAAATTCATTAAAGACAGACTAACACAAACATTTTGACAACCGCTTGCCCTTAAGGTCTGACTTCCATCAATGAGCCGGGGCAAGGCTCTAGCAGCGAGGTAGGGACGGGGAAAGCAGGGAGAGAGAAAGGGGGAAAAAAGGGATCAGTCACTGCTACTTCCAAGGAGAAGCGAGCTTGTCCCAGCCTGCGCGGCTCAGCGGAGGAAACATTACACGCGAACAAAGGCTTGGCACTGGGCTTCAAAGGCAGAGCGGAGTGCTCGGCAGGGGGCTCCCAGCGGAGCCGGGGAGAGAAAACCCCGGTTCAAGGGAGCCTCCCAGCTGGAGTGCAAGGCTGGCAGGGGAGGTTGCGCCCTCTAGCTTGGAAAAGGGGGTTCAGAGCCACCCTATCTACTCTCCCTCTGCCCTTCCCCGCACGCAGGCGCCCTGCCACCGCACAGCCGCCCCGCACCCCTCCCCGCGGGCCCCAGCGTAGCCCCGCACCCGGCCCCTCACCTCGGGTCAGCAGGATGGCCATGGCGCACAGCTCCAGTTGCAGCCAGATGAAGCTGT